TGGCATCTGATCTAGCTGTAGTGGCATATAAAATGGTTGTGGTGTCATTTGATACTATTGCAATGCTATCTGAAATGGCTGCAGAATGTACAGCGGTGTGATAGTGACTGCTGTGATGGTTCCGGTACTAAAACTGAGTATGAGCTGGAAACGTATGTTTTATATCTATGAGTTGGGGGATGATGATGCTATGACGGTGGATGTCTTTGTCGACGTCGATGAATGCTCCCGCCTCATGCTTTCTTGAAAAGTAGGAACAGTTTCTCGTTCGTGTTGAACCACTCATAATAATCATCTGCAACCGAGTAATGATCCACATAAATGGATTATATACGGAGAATGTGCCCACGTCGATCCTCCATATCATTACCCACTTAATGTGCTTCAACAACCAGTTAACTTCTTTTTTGCCCCGTCTATCGATGATATACAAATCTTCGAGATTCTTAGGTACTTCTAGAATAGATTGTACAAAACTAAATTGGCGGAGCATGCGATCAGTAGGATGTCACTCGAAAATAGCATAACATATTAGAGGGATCACCTCCATCCAGACATCTAATGGGAATTTTAAGTGATATGGAATGTAAATCCTCATCTCTTCAGTAGAATAAGGAGCCCATTGAAACTAAAACAAATATATAATTCTTATCAAAATAATATTCTAATTATATAACGATAATTAAAAGTAGCTAATAATATTTAAAAAACATACCTCTGTACCACCTTCTGATCAATGAGTAGCCTAATTTCTTCCAATTCATAGGTAAATCCCGATGATCTTTTCTTGCACTTGATCACCTATTCAATGAAATAATTTTCATTATATACTCAAAACATTATTTATATACGAAATCTAAATTGAAATTGCCTTAATAATAGCGGGAAGACCAACGAGGTTTTCACCACCAGATATAAAAAGGGCAGACGATACCACGCTCAAGACTGGAGAAGAATGAAACATCTGCCGATAGCATTTTTTTTATAGTCGGTATCGACACATTTCCCTATACAGAAATGTCAAAACTGTGGAGCCCCAACTGAGTGTGTTTGCATGATGAAAATCTGCGATGTGACGTAACCATATACAATGAACTTGGTTGTACGATTTGTCGGGCATCAGGATCCCTCATATGAGTGTAATATGCAAGCATGTGCATACATTGTAACCTGCTCCTCGGAGGCGTCGCCACTCAAATGTTTGAAAGTTGTATCCAACCAATTTAATGAAATTCAACCACCGTTGAAATTAGACATGACACTTCCAAGATACTTCTCACACAATGAATGTCAGCCACCATATGTCACCCCATAAATCATATCCCCATCTACCGAAGCCCCAAATGCATGGAAACATCCTCTAGCGTAATTGTGCACTCTCCACACAGAAGATTGAATGTGTGTGTTTTTGGTCTCCACCTCTCAACCAGTACAGAAATGAAGTTGGATTCAAGATTACAATGTCCTTCATATTTTGCTATGTAACCGAATCCAGCCTCGACTAAATATGACCATACACGAGTAGATATCTCTAATTTAATGTTACAAATGAATGGATCTAATATACATTATTTCTCCTAATTTAATAAATATTATAGAAATTAAAATATAAACTAATACTAAACAAATTAAATAAATAAAACATTAACAAATATTAAAATTACAATTAAATTTAAAATTGTTATCGTATCGACAAAATGCCTCGAGATATGATTCTCATCTAAATGTAGCAAACAACCTTCCATTTTATAACTGTAAAAAATAATAAAAAGTTAGTATAATAAAATTTAATAAAATAATAAATTATTAATTTATTATAATACAATAAAAATATTTTACTTTCTTGATAGAAAGATTGATACTCGAAAGAATGAGAGAATTTGGGATTTGAGTGTGGTTTTGAGGTTGTGTTTGGGGGGAGAGGGGAAAAGGTATTTATAGGAAGATGGGAGGGGGTAGATCGGTTTCCCATAAATGTGGGAGGTGGACGGTTGGGGTATTAAAGGAAAGGCGTTGATAACGATTTGCGCCTTACGTACGCATGTCAAAAACCCCTGGAAGGTGGGGATGGTGATCTGCGCCTTTCATGACGTAGCGTCAGTTTAGACAGAACCCATCATCCGTGTCTTGTTAGAAAAGGTGTTAGATCGGTAATATTATGAGAAATTATGACTGACAAGTAATTATTACATCTACTGGTGATATTTCAAAAAAAACCCTTATCTAGGAACTATTTTAATAATGGGACTTTTACTAAATATAATTTAGAGTTTGTCTGTTTTATGAATTTCATCTTAACAAATATATCTTTATAGTTTTTTGATAAATGATCGAAAAAAAGGTTAGTCAAAGAATCTGATTTACTTATCGATAGAAAAAAATTTATAAATTGACTCAGATTAAAATTAAATAAAAAATTATTGTCAAAATTTAATATTTAATCAGAAATTATCATCGATATTTCTCTTACCGACTCAAGTATATGTGTAGTTTCTATTCATCTACCATTTAACAAAATTAATGAATTTTAGTGTTTTTCAATCTCCATTTTTCCCTTGTTTATGCTGATGGAGGAATAAAAAGTAAAATAGAGGATTTTTTTATTTATTTCTTTGATAACTTTATATTGATTTAAAAAATATTAAGAAATTATTATTATCTTTCATATTTTAGAGTAGAACATTACATACGGAGATGTGTATGATATGAACGCTCAATAATAAATAGTTGAAGAATATATAATATTTTTACTTTCTTATTCATTTCACGACGTAAATTCAATAGAAGGAAATGATTTTTTTTCATTATCTATGGGGCAAAGGCGAGGAAGCTTGTATTTTATTATTATTTTATAATGTATTAATTTACATTAACGTAAATATATATATTTCTAATCAAATATTGGGAGAATTCTTTTTTATTTTAACGTTTAACGGAAAATTTTGAAAAAAAAAATGTAAAAAAGTTAAGAGTATTTTTTTATTATAAATAACTTTAAATAAATTATTATAATATTTGAAAATAATATAAATATTTTATAATGAACAATATATTTAATTATATTTGATATTTATAATAAATATTCTCTGAAAATCATATAATATTAATGTTTTCATAAAGTACGATAGACATTGTGGGGGCAATATACGGTCTAATTTGGTGGTTGAAGAAGGTCTCAATATTCCTCTAATTCATTAGTAATATTACCACTTTTACCTTTTTCTCCCTTTTTTTAATGGGTTTTTATATAAAAGTGAAATTTATCTGTGCCATTCCATTCTCATGTTTTGGGTTATGTTCCTATTGCTCCACTTATCCTATCCACTCTTAAAAAGGTTCTTTAATATATAATTATTATTATATAATTCAATACTATATTAATTTAAATTAAATACAATAAATAAATATTCTAAAAAATATTTTATTTTAATTTATTTATAACACCAAAATATAAATATCTAATTTTAAAATAAATATTATCTTATAATCACCTTATACTATTTTAAAAATTTCTTTAATAATTAATATTGTGTTGTCTAGATTTTTACATACAAAACAATTTATGCATAGGTGATATTTTAAAAATTTCTTCCAAAAAGAGCCTGTATATCTCACAACATAATATATCTCAACATTAGAATAAAACTGAATAGATCAATAATTAAGGGGTTTATTTAAAATATTATATATTTTAAATAAGAATTTAAATATTAATACTATGAATAAAATAAATAAAATCACTCCAAAATAAGACTCTATAATATATAATATAAATTAATCGATAAATAATTTAAAAATATTAAGTATTAACATACTTTCGGGGGGGGGGGGGGTTTACAAAAACATGTTCGATATAGAATTTGATAATGAGATGTAAATGATTAATTTTTGCGTCATTGATTAGAAATGGAGGAGGAAGTGAAAGGGAAGGGTCCATGGAGAAACGTTCGTGAATGCAATTATTGAATCAATGTAACCAATGTGGATTCCACCGCAATCAACCACTTCCATTTAAGAATCGCTCATTTTATGACACCTCTCACTTTTCTTTGTGTTTATGCGGCGATTTTTTTAAAAAATCGACAATAAATAATTATTTATTAGGTATAGTTTCGCTAAATTTTACTTATTTAGCACTCTTTATTACAAGGCATGAATCGTCATCCACGTTTTGGGGTTTCGTTTGAATTGGTGCCAAGTTATGAAAGGTATGGCTGGTCATCCGCGTCTTATTCGAGCTGGCACCACATAAGGATAGGTGCGGATCATCATCCGTGCCTTAACACTTTAAAAATTAAAAAATAAAATTATAGAGACTAACATCGTCATTTAATATATATTAGTTCCATAAGTTGAAGAGCTTAACGATGTTAGCTTATATAGACATATTGAAGTGTTTATGTTATGTTTATTGACAATGTGACATAAAAGCTAAAAGATGTATTTGTTAATGAACATATTTATATGTATTTATTATCTTTAGTTAGAAATATTAAGAATATAAAGCAAAATTTACGTAAAAAAAAAGATAATTCATATATTATTATTATTTTTTATTTTTTAAGTATTGATGGGCATATTTCACACATTCATGTTATTATTATTGATTGATGGTCGGTTTATGGTTTAACATGTACAACAAACGTATAATATTTTTAGAAAAAAATCAATATTCTTAAGGAGTTTTTGTGTTCTTTTTCAGTTGTTCAAATACAGTAATTTTTCAGTTGGATTTTAACCTTTAATACACCACCGTCTTGATTCAATTTATCATGCAACGCTTCTGCATATCATCATTATGTCGAACTTCCCCTCCACACACACACACATATATGCTGTTGTACATTTTTCTTAGTTCATACCGAAAAGAAATCCCGTGAGATGGCTGATGTACATCTAGTTGCATGGATATAGCACCAATGGTACAATTTTCTCTCTGAGGCACCACGGGAACAGGGACATACTTAATGGGAGAAAAAGGTAAAAGTGGTAATATTAAGAATATGAGAAGCATGACAATTGTGAATAAATTAGTGGTCATCATCATTACTCCAAGCTCCGCTATACCTGGAACAAATATATATATAACTAGAAAGATGAGAAATCTATCTAATTTTGAAGCAAGGAAATGGTAAGGAGATCGCTTTATCTTAGGTAGTTTGGTTAAGCACCCCAGTAAAATAATTGCATATTACTTCTTTATACTCTACAAAGAACCTAGACTTTTATGAGTTACATGAACAATAATTCATTCAAAGATAACAAAAGTGACGACTGCTAGTACAACCAATACGAATGAGACTTATCAAGAAATATTACCGTAGGCATTTCCAATCTCGTTAATGCTTGAGATGAAGCAAACCATGACCAGGCAAACTCCCAGCAAGAACCAGTTTATGACAGGAATATAGATCTGACCCATGAACTTTTTAGATGTGTAAATGATTTTAAGACGAGGGAAACAACCAAGAGCATATGATTGCTTTAAGCACGAAAATGTTGCTGTTGTCATTGCTCGGCTGGCAATCAAGGCGGCAATATTAGGTATCAATAAGACTGGCCAGAATGCACCACCTACATGGGGCAAAAACAGTTTCCCATTTAAAGGAAGTCAAGCAGGGGTATTTTCAAAATAAAATATAGGTTTTAATCCAAGTAATTCGTGATCGGATAACCCATTGATGATAAAACGTGAAACTTACTAGGAATTGAAGAGAAGAAAGCATGTACAACAGCATATATATGTGTGTGTGTGGAGGGGAAGTTCGACATAATGATGATATGTAGAAGGTTGCATGACAAATTCAATCAAGACGGTGGCGTATTAAAAGTTAAAATCCAACCGAAAAAGAATTGTAATTTGAACAACCGAAAAAGAAAACAAAAATTCCCTTAAGAATATTGATTTTTTTCTAAAAATTTATATGTGCGTTGTACATGTTAAACCATAAATTGACCATCGATCAATAATAATAAAATGAATGTGTGAAAGATATGTCTATCAATACTTAATAAATAAATAATAATAATAATATATGAACTATCTTTTTTTACATAAATTTTGCTTTATATTAATAAATTTTGCTTTATATTATTAATATTTCTAACTAAAAATAATGTAAATACATATAAATATGTCCATTAATAAATACACATTTTAGTTTTTATTCCATATTGTCAAGAAACATAACATAAACACTCCAATATGTCTATATAAGCTAACTACATTAAGCTATTCAACTCATGAAACTAATATGTATTAAATTATGATGTTAGTCTCTATAGTTTTGTTCTTTTTAATTTTTAAAATGGTAAGGCGCGGAAGGCGATTCGTGTCTGTCCTTACGTGGTGCTAGCTCGGATAAGGCGCGGATGACCATCCACGCCTTTCATGATGTGGCGGTTTGGATGCATGCCTTTAAGCGCTTTAACGATTGTTAAATTTAAATATTATTAATATTTAATTTAAAATAATCTTTTTAATATAATTTATTACCTTCATAAATGTTACCATCTATATCTCTAACATTAATCAGTATTTCATTATGCTAAATTAATTTATTATATTTATGGTCATTTTTTATGATAATTTTAATTTTTTATGATGTATTTTTACTTAAAATTGAAACAGATATAAGTATAAAAGTTTCATTTGTGTTTTTTAAACTGTTAAATTTGTTTTTTACTTTTGAGTAAAATACTCAATATCTAAACTATCTCAATTCTTTTAGTTTTATATTATATTAATAATTTATTACTACTATTATTACATATGCATGTGTATGTTTTAGTTAGGTTTTATGTTATGTTTTTTTATTATAATTATATAGTAATGATAATTGTGTTTTAAATATATGTGTGGGTTTTTGTTTATTAGAAGTTCGGTCATATTACACATTAGATTTGGTTAAATATTTATAGGTATAATCTAAACGATATATTGCTTATAAATAAATATCATATACTAATATTACTTTCTCTTATTTTGCAAAACAGGTCATACGATGTCAATTTAATTACATCAAGCCCAATCAAATACAATTTAGTAAGCCCGTTTCTTTTAGATCCAATTGAAGCCCACGAGCAGATACCCTAGCAGCCAGGTTAGAGGCACCGCCAACTCCCTTGCATCATTGGATCTGGCTGGAAATCCATGGTTCAGACCTGTCCGTTTGTAAACCATATCTCAAACTTGATGTCGCCGCCTTCCAGAAGGCTCCAGTTGATTCTAGGTAAATTAGTGAAAAATGATATATTTACTTCCACGTTTTTCTTTTGGTTCTAGGTAAAAATACACGGGTATAAAACCCCCCAAAACAATCTGTAGATTCTGGAACAGAAGATTTTTTTGAAGATTTATCTCCATTTTTGTTTTCTCTTTTAGTAGCTATCTTTGCATTTCGAAACAAAAAATAGAGAAAGAGTTAAAAGAGGGTTACCGAACAAAAAACAAAAATGGGGAGTAGGTTTAGTTTTCTCAGCGTGGCCGGTTAAGGGTCATGTCGCCTTTGGTGTTAAGTTTCCTGCATGTTGGCTTAAGAGTCATCTCAGGGTCGCCGGAAAATGAATAATCAAAATGTCAAAGAGGTCTAGGGGCCATTTGGGAGCATTGTTTGGTAATTTCAACCCTAAATCGGGGTTTTGGGTGGTTAAATGGATGATTTGGGGTTAATAAGTGCTGATTTCAACCTCATCGGCCGCTTTGGGCTGTGGTCGACTCTCGGCTTTTGGGATTATCGACCTCGGAGAAGAAAGCGATGCGATTTGTATATAGGAGGGTTAGAGAGAGTGTTGGGAGAGAATATAAAGGGTTAGGGTTAGGGTTAGGGTTAGGGTTAGGGTTAGGGTTAGGGTTGTAAATAAATTAAACGTCATGAACAGTGCGGCGAGAAGTTCGTTTATGTTCGTTTATTTATTAAATGAACCAACATGTTGTTGTTCTTTCATTTACGTTCGTGAACGTTCGATTATATGTTCATTTATGTTTGTTCATTTATGTTCGAACATAGGGCAAATTGAATATATTACGATGATTATTGAAGTTTTTTGGATTTCAAGAAGATTTTGAGTTGAATAAATTAGCTTTAAGACTTTATTATGTTCATATAACTTATTTATCATATATGTATGTTTTTGTAGTATTCGAACAAATTAACTTTAAAGTTCCATATTATATTAATGAATTTTAAGTTGTTATTCTTGTTGTTTACTCTTTTTTTACATTCATTTATTGTGTTCGAATAAGTTTGTTTTATGTGTTTGTGTTGTTCGTTTATTGTGTTAGTTTATTTTAATTTATTATTTTCGTTCGTTTGTGTTCGTTTATCATTTAAATGAACGAACATGAACGAACATGAACAAGTTATATTCCTTAATGAATAAATATGAACAAAATTTTTTTGTTCATTTATGTTTGTTTATTTATTAAATGAACGAACATGAACATACATCCGTTCGTATGCGTTTGGTTCGTTTACATGCCTAATTAGGATTTATTTGGCTAAAGATGATATTTATAGTAATGACTAAGGGTTAATCACGCTCGTGCCATCGAAGTTTTGCCGTGAATTTGTACTTTGGTCCCTCATTTTATATTTTTATTTTATTTCAAATTTTTGTGTCCTAATTACATGATTTTCCATTTTAATGATTATTCTTTAATATGCTTTAAAATTTAGGTATAATTTTTGTTTTTACATTTTCGTTATTAGTCTACATTTTTTAATTTGTTATGATTTTTCTTCTTTGTTTACATTTATTTCAATTTGACCACTACTCTGAAACTTGTACAATTAGTTCAAAATTTGGTCCCTGAATTATTTTATGGGTTATAATTTAGTCCTTAGATTATATTATTAATTAATCCTTGTATTAATTTAATTCAATATATTCAATTGGTAGCTTGTAAATTATTAATTAGTTTTTTTGTATTGTTAATTTTGATGAATTCAGATTTTTATGCTCGTTTGTTTTTATCCTTAAGTTTTTAATTTATTAGATTTTAGGGTCAACCTTTAATTTAGGTTTTTCTTAATTTAGTCAATAATTAGGGCCTTAGACTTTAAATTTAGTCTTTAGATTTAGATTTATCACACTTTAGTCCTTGGACTTCTTAATTTAGGGAATAATTTGATCTGAGCTCTCGCATTAAAATGCTCGAGGGCCTATTTTGATTATTCGATTCAATAATAGGTAAAATTTAATTAGGGTTAATAATTAGAGCTTTAATCTTAAACTCTTCACAATTTAGTCTTTGAACCTTTTAATTAGATATTCTTTTAACATAATCAATTAGGTTATTAATTAGAGCAACCACTTTAGGTTTAGTTTCATTTTAGTCCTTTAATTTAGGGAATAATTTGATTTGGTTTTTGCATTAAAATTCTTGAGGGTTCATTTCGATTATTCGATTCAATAATTGGTTAAAACAAATTAGGATTAATATTGGAGCCTCCATTTTTAGGTTTAGTCCTCAGGTTCTTTAAATTTAATAATTTGACACTTTAAGATAGGAGAAGCCTTAATTAATTCACTAGTATAATTAGATTCATAAATGATTGTTTGATTGCATTTTGTTTTTAAAACAATAAGGCAATGTTCAGGGAATTGATAATCTATCTTCCACATTATGCTTATAGGTGACCAGTGGTAATTTTTGAAGAAAATCGACATCATTTTCAAACCCCACATAATGATTTCTTAATCTATGAGGCAATGTTTTTTAATAGGATCAATAATTAAGCTTTCGTATAAATTCTTGAGGGTGGATGCTATTGGTCTCAATAAACTAGTATATTTTTTAAATTTGCATCCATAATTTTTTATATTAAATAAAATCTCGAACTCAAAATTTAAAATATAGGGTAATCGATTAGGTACCAATTTCTGGCAATGTGGGGTGCTAATCATTCTCCACGTGTAACCGACTCCCAAACCTGATTTCTAATTTTCGCTGATCCAAAAATTTGGTATTTTTGATAAAATAAAATGTTTTATTGAAACAACATGATTTTAGGTGTTCAAATTGCACCTTAAAAATGATTGGTGACCACTCCAACATTTCATCGGAAATCGTTTTAAAAGAAAAACCCTATTGTTGTAACTAGTCAGCTTTTCCCTCGAAGGGTTGTTTGCAACAGCTTGATGACAATACTGGGGAATTTTTTTTTCTAAAAGAAATAGAGAATCGAGCCACGAGTTTGTTACCCTATATTTGAGATTTGGAAATTTTGAGTTCGAATTTATTTAATTTACAATTCGTTATGTTCTTTTAAAAATTAAAAAAAGATTTTCTTTCTGGTTAATACTTTCACTTGATTGAATATATCTAGAATTGTTGCATATCATGGGTCTATACCCAAGCTTTGTCTCATTTCACCTAAGTAAGGGAAAACACACACCATAGGGGAACGTTGGTCTTCCTCGTGTAGGTCTAGCAAAGTACATCTGGAAAGCATTCTAAGTGTGTCTAGATATGATCTTCTGTGAATACATTTAGTGGTTTGATCCCCTAAATTGAATTCGATTCGCAAAGTCTGTAATGGGCCAGAATCGAAATCTTTATTAACCTTAATAGGTTATAAGAACAATTTGGGAACCCTTTTTTGGAACCGAACTTTATATAGAGAATTTAGTAAGCTCACCCCTCTAGACCCATGTGGATATCCTAAGAGAAATAGAACGTATACAGTTAGGACTTTAATTTCCTTTATGTGTTTTATTTGTAGCCTCATC